GTGTGAAAAAGGAGTGAGAAGTTAGGGGTGTTTCCTCCTTTAAAGCTCTTCTTTAAATCCCCTTTAAAATTCTTCCCTGGTGGAGAATTGTTCCCTCTTGGTTCTGTGTCTCAGTGGGGGAGAATTTGTCTCACTCTTGGCTGCAGCTTGAGAAAAGGTAAAAAGATAATCAGTCACTCAGCTCCTTTCAAGTGTGATTCTGTCCCAAAAAGTAGGTGTGGGGAAAAGATCCCTGTCCTTTGTTTCAGGAGGTGATCTGTTGATTTTTTTGTGCAGAATAGTTATTTATTTCCCTAATAATTCTTTCTAATCCTGAGTGGGCTCCTTGTCCCCCTATTCACCTTCTAAAAGATGGATACAAGCAGAGGGTAGGACTTGGCCTTTGGAATTTTAATGCAGATTTGCAGGGAAATCAGATTATTGCCCAACATTTGTGGGGAAGCTGAGGGAGGATCTGCAGCTTTAAAGTCAAAGTCAAAGAATTTTGCTGTGTAATCCCCCATCCAGTGACAGCGAGGAACAAACCGGGGGGGGGGGGATTGATTACTCAGGACTTGGGAGCAGAAAAAAATCCTGTTTCATCATCAAACTGGTGCAGGGATTTGTCAAGTGGGGGGTTGTGGATTTGCTCTGTGTGTGCCAGGAATTCTGTAATGGAACAAAGCTGCTCCAAACCCCGAGTTTTCCGTTGCTGGAGCTGCTCCTCCCACTGATTATGAGGAGCCGTCGGGGTTGGGTTGGGTTTTTTTTTTCTCCCCCAGAAGCTGTTTTTTAGCATTTCTGCTGCATCTTTGGCTTTTAGGTGTGCACGTGCTGCACTGCCTGTGTCCAGATGGTTGCCTTGGCTGAGCTGAGTGAGGAGCTGCAAAGACATTCCCAAGCAAGTGGAGTTTGAAGGGATTGAGTTTCAGGCTCGCTGAATGCGAAGGAGTTGGAGCTTCCTGTGAATGTCTCCTCCAGGCAGCTGTGAAATTGTGATGGAGGGAGTGAATTAGGTTGTCTTTGGCTTGGAATCTCCTCGGGTTTTGGGGGGGGGGGGGATCTAAAGCAGCTTTTTTAATTTTTAGAGGTGCTTTTGGAGGGCAGCAGTTGGCAGCTCCAGGGAGGAAATCCCAGGCAGCAGGAGCGATGTTTGTTTAGCAGGAATAATAACCCAAAGTACAACTTTGGGTTGTACTTCAACCTTTAAGAGGCTTTAGGGCCAGAACTCATTCTTTTGGCCTTTCCCTTCCCACTGTGGGATGCTGGATACACCAGAGCCTCAGGTGGTGTTTAAAAAAAGAGACAACCCCCCAAAAAAACCACCCCAAAAATCAGTAGTGCTCGTGGAAAGCTGAGTGCCTGTCCTCCCTCCCTCCCTTCTCCTGGCATCCCTGCTGGCCCTGCTGAGCAGCCAAGTGCATCAGGAAACTGCCTCCACAAGGGGAACAAAAAAAAGGCACCTTCCTGCTCCTGTTGGTTGTGTGGGAATTCCAGTGGAAGGAAGGGAATGGGAACATGAATTCCCACCTGGGGCCAGGTGGCAAAGCCAGCTGCTGTTGCTGCCTGTGACAGTCTGGAGTTCTTTAAACCAGTGGTTGAATGTTTGTTTGTTGTAGGAAACTTCACCTTCATCCTTTTTTCTCTGGAGGGGACGGGGGTTTAATGCAGGTTTTTGGGGAGAGCTGGGCTGCCTTGGCCTGGACCAGTTGGGAATGTCTGATGCATGAGACTATGTTTTAGGATTTTACAGGTGGAATCTCATGGAAAGGGCTTGGAAGCATTAGGGTTCCTGGGAATTGGGGGGCAGGGAGCGCTGGGTCAGCACAGGGAGGGTTTAATTTGCAGTAGAGAAGCCAGAGTGTTTGTTCCCAGCCCCTGCAGCCCCCCCTGGGAATGCAAGGTCATTAAACCACCATACCTTGATTGCCTGTGACTTCTCCATGCCATGGATCGAGGGCCACTTGAAAAAATTCCATCTTTCCTCTTGGCTTCCAGTCCAGATTTGACTTTGCTTAAAGCCCTTGGCTGGGAGCCACATTTATCAGGGATAGAGCCCAGGAATTGGGATCATTAATCGATGGCTCCCTCTGGTCACTGTGCAGTTGCAGGAAGTGCTCTGTGGCAGGCCTGGAATTTATTGCAAAAGCTGTTGTAGAATTTGAATTGCAGAGCTCCAAGCTCTGGGATGCAATTTTTTTAGGCTTTTTTTTTTTTTTTTTTCTCCTTTTTCCCCCCAAAAAAAACCCAGGGAGCAGCAGCTTTTGATTTTTCTCATGCAGCTCAGCCCAGACTGTGCACTAATGTGCTAGTGATTAACTTGCAACCTTGCAGTGCCAAACTCTCCAAAGTTTGCAGGCTGCCAAAACTGGGCTGTTCTCTTCAGGAGCTTTTGTATTCCACTGGTAGGAATTCACACAGCCCTTTGCTGCAATCACATCTTTGTTAGAAGCAGTCCTCTTAAACTCGAACAAAAAGTATTGTTGATGGTTTTCCATGGTTCTTTTGCTCTGGATTAAATTATTGGCACTGAGTAGTCAGTTTAAACAACAACAACAACAAAAAAAATGTAGCTTTGAATCTTTCATTTATGTTCTTTTGCTTTGGAATTTGATATGTGAGGAGCTGCTTTGAGTAAAAAATCCCTGAAGGCCTTCACCTCCTAACCCTGGTGATGTTCAGCTCTGTCTTTCCTGGTACAGGTTAAAAAGCTCATAAAGTAGCAGAGCTGCAAATTCAAACACACTTAAGAGCACTTCACATTTGGGAGAGGAGGGAGGGGGAAACTTGATATCCATTGTCAACCTTTGGCAGAAGCTGCACATAACACACATTCCTCTGCACTCCTCAGTTTTGGGAGGTTGGAGCTCTGCTCCTGAAATCCTGCTGGGGTTTGAAATCCTGCTGGGGTTTGAAATCCTGCTGGGGTTTGAAATCCTGCTGGTGTTTGTCTCTGGTATCAGATCTTTGTAAAAAAAAAAAGATAAAAACGTTTATGGTTTGCTGTGGTCCTTTTAAAATCCACTGGAGGGGGGGAAGTGTTGCTGCATTCCTGAGCTGATCCTTATCCAGCCTCTCTCAGGTGTTCCCTTACCCTCTGACCACAACCTGCAGCTCCTCCAGCAGCAGCAGGAGCCCTCCAGGCTCAGAGCTTCCCAGCAGGAATCCAGCCAGTCCTTCCCTCTGACCCAGGGCACCCACATGCTGCTGCAGAACAACAGGTTTGTTGTCTGGTGGACTCGGGGTCAAAATTCCTGGGATCTGAAGGATGGAGTCAGCAACCAGCTCCTCTCTGCTGCTGGAAGCCCACTTCAGGATTAACACCTTGTCCATAAGGACTGTTCTCCTGAAAATCTTCCTTTTCTGCCTCAGTACCCCCAGAGTTACAAGAAGAAAAGCCAAACCCTTATTTTTGGTGCTCTTTTCCCACTGTCTGCTGGCAGTTGGGTGTCCTTGGAACGGATTCTGCTTTAAATGCTCCATCTCATCCCTCTTAAAGTTGATTTTCAAAATCTTGGAACTCCTCAGCACGGATCAGGAGTCTAAAGTTTTTCTGCTTGATCCCAGTGGAGGATTTTTTCCCCTGCATTCTGTATTTTTTGCAGCTATTTCTGTGTTATTTGAGCCTGTCCTGCACCCCAGCACACGGTGGTTAACTCAGATTAAACCCTGAGCAGAGCTCAGTGAAACCTGTACTTAAAACTAATTTATTCATGCAGCTCCTGCATTTATGTGCTCTGTGAGCAGGGGTTTGAGGCTGAAATCACACTATTCCAGAATAAACAGCACTTGAAATTTTAGAACAATAAAAGCACGTTTCCAGTTCCCTTTGTCACTTGTGGAACAGCTCAGCTGAACATCCTGGAGTGTGCTGAGGCTGAAACCCAACACCTGGATGCTTGGAGTGATACCTGAGTGTGGAAAACAAGTCCTTTTGTGACTGAAATCGTTGTTGCAAACCAGCTTTGTCATTCAAGAAGTTGGTTGAGTGGCAAGTTTTCCTTTTAGGATGAAAAGCCTGTTGTTGTGTCCAAGTTTAGCAGTGGAAGGTGCTGCTGCTGAGACCGTTTCTCAGCTGCTTTGGAGCAGATTTAAGGTTCTTAAAGATAATTTCTCAGGGGTTTTTGCCGTGGTTGAATGACACAGGGAGCAGAACTTGCAGAGTGAGGTCCTGCATAGCCATTCCAGGTTTTTTTGGCTGAAGGATCATAGATCCCACATCATGTTGGAGGCAGCAAGTGGGACCTGAGTTAGGAAGGAGGAAACAACACCAGGTGCTCTCCCCTGGCTCTGTGGAGCTTCAGGACACTTTAATTCCTGGGGAGGTTCCCTCCCCCTGTCTCTCCAGCTTGGCCTCATAGTTTGGATGTTTGCATCCACAAATAGTTCCAGTGCTGTGTAAATACCAAACTGCTTCATTTTTGGGTGGATTTTGGATCTCTTTGCTGAGCAGGACAGGAACTCCAAGGTGGACTCTGCTTCTGAAGTCACTTTTTAAATAAAACCAACATTGTGTTTTATTTTGTGGTTAAATCCAAGCAACACCCCCCACTCCCCTGCTATGGAGATTAATGTGCTTTTCCAAGTGAGAGCCACAGATTGGGTAAATAAATCCTAAGCATCTTGTTTGGGATAATTATTAAGAGTCCTGCTGCACTGATGGAAGTGGTTTAATATTGAGGGGAATTTTGGTGCAATATTTCACCATTTGTCAGGATTGTGGCAGCTGTTCCCAACATTCCTGCTGTCCAGATACTGTTCTTGCTGCAGGTTTGTCATTTCTCAGCTCAGCTTTCATTCCTGGGCTGGGCAGAAGCTTTCCCTGCCATGGAATTCTGAGCACGAGGGTGTTCCTTTGCTTCCTCACATTGAATTATGGATTATTCAGAATCTCCATTGATTTGCTGAGGAGCTGCAGCATGTTGGGTTCAGCTGATTCAGTGACTTTTAAATGTTTTATTACTCTAATCTAAACGTTCCTGAGTACAAACCCCTCTCTGGGGCTGCCTCTGACCAAGGAAATGTTTTCTGTTCCAGAGGTTCACGCCACGGGGTTCAACTACCAAAACGAGGATGAAAAGGTTACTCTCTCCTTTCCCAGTACCCTGCAGAAAGGTAGGAGCTATTCCCCTGCTCCCTGCTGCCTTCAGCCCTGGCTTTGAGGGGTTTGCACTTGGAAAAGCTGGAGTGGGACAGCTCTGCCTTCCCTGGAGTTCCCCAGCGTGGTGCTCCCTGTGGATGTGCCCACCATGGGTCACTTCAGGAGCCTCTGGACTTGGAAATGTTGTTTCACTAAGGGTGGTAATTCCTGCCAACACCTGAGGTGGCTCTGATTATTTCCCAGCTCTTGGGAGGCAGGAGCTGTTCCTGTTATTCCCCCTGAGCTGTTCCCTCCTGAGCTCACTGGAATTACTGCAGGATTTTCCTCACCGTCGATGTTTGGATTCTCCTGAAGCTGCTGCAGTTTCTTGCTCTGAGGAGCCCGTGGGTTGAAACAGCTCCTCAGTTTAAATAAAGCAGTTTTATTTCATCTGGATAAATACAAATAGGAAATTCTGGGATGATCAAGCAGGAATGTTTGGTTCTATGGGATCTTGGCTGCTGCTCTGGGCAGGCTCAGGTTTCCCCTTTTGCACTGAGAGACATCAAGGGCAGAATAAATCCTGAGACTAATTGACTTATGAGCTTGAGCACTGCCACAGCTCCATCTTGGCTTTGTAGTGGATTCCACAGGATGCCATTATTGCTTATATCCTATATTTGTGCCAACTTTAAAGTGAGGATTAGAGGATCAGACTTTGGGAATGGCTTAAGGTTGGTCTCTCCTGGTTGTGCTTTCTGCTTAGAAGGTGAGACTGAGCCCTGCAGCAGCCTCTGGTAGCAATCCTAAAAATCTGTGGGGAGCCTGGCTTTGCTCTTCTGGGGTTTGTCTGGGGAGAGTGGAGGGTTTGTGGGGGGCTGGCACTGGAGGGACAGAGAGGAGCTGAAGGGGCCTGGTGGTCCAGACCGAATCCATGCTCTGTTTGGCACAATCCAGTAACAACACCCCCCCTCTGTTTGTGTTGCAGGGACAGGGACCCTAAAGATAGACTTTGTAGGGGAGCTGAATGACAAAATGAAAGGTTTTTACCGGAGTAAATACACCACCCCCACCGGAGACACCCGCTACGCTGCTGTCACTCAGTTCGAGGTACGGGCTGCACTGCTGCTTTCAGGGAGGATTTCTGCTGGGAAGAGGCAAAGGCACAGTTTTCCTGCCTTTATCTCTCTCCTCTGGGTGAATTTCATGATTTTTTTTGCTCCTTGCTTCGAGTGTGGGTAACACTCAAATTTAAACGCTGCGGCCTCCAGGGCAGGAAATTCGGGATGTTCCAATTCCCCAGGCAGGGCTGTGGGATGCACCCTAGACATGCAGGAGCTGCAGTGTTCAGGAACATCTCATGATTTAGACATGCTCAGATACCTCTGTGAAACCTTGTGTGAAGCACTTTAATCTTTCTTTGACAGCCCCCTGTGCCTTTTATCTCAGCATCTCCCCGACATCCCAAACGTGAGCCAGGGCCCGGCCCTGTTACGTAAACCCCCGGCCAAAATGGCAGGAATTTGACTCCATATTGCAATTCCAGAGTGATCCTCCTGCTTACATAAACCAGGCAGCCCTCCCCTGCCACGGGCAGAGCGTTTTTTGGGAGCGGGCTGATGGAATATAAATAGGTGGTCGTGTGTGCAGGGCCTGTGAACGCCTGGGTGCCCTCTGTGCTTTCACATGACTGAGCTTTGCTCCTCTCATGACTCTGCTAAATTTTCCTCAGACTGTACAATTCCATCAGAGCACAGAGGCCTTTTCAGCTGCTTTTATTTATTCAAGCTGAGGGTGAAATAAGAATAAAATGCTCTGATGCAGAGGTCAAGAGTGTCCGTGATTCACCCACTTCTTGCCCCAAAATAAGCTGAATTTGTGTGTTTTGCTGCCACAATCTCCTGTGATTTATTTCTTTAATGCTCTTTTTTTCAGGCTACTGATGCTCGCAGAGCTTTCCCTTGCTGGGATGAACCTGCTATTAAGGCAACATTTGATATTTCTTTGGTGGTTCCTAAAGACAGAGTAGCTTTGTCAAATATGGTGAGTCCTTGATGTGCAAATAAACAGTGTTTTAAATAAAGCTGTGATAACACCAGCTGCTTAATTGATAATTAATAATGTGTCTTGGTAACAGAATTAGGAATACAGGCTGCCTTGCTATTGCTAAGGAGGAATAAATGCAGAGAGCTTTGAAACAAGATGTTATTTGGTGTCAGGTGCACAAAACCTGAACAGGTTGGACAAACCTGGTGGTTTAAAAAAATATATATAATAAACAGTGGTAAGTATATATAACATGTGTAAAATATATAAAAATATATTAAAATATATAACATAGTAAATATAAATAATATATTTAATAAATAATAAATCTTGGCATAGGTCAAGCCACGTGCTGGTTGATTAAGAGTGACTGGGGAAAAGTCCTTTGTGTGTTACCCAGAAGCACTTGAGATAAATCAGAGAGTTTCCTGCTCTGGAGAATTTCTGTCCAGAACTGGGATGAAATGTGGAAGCAGAAGTACCTCTGTCACAAAAGGGGCATTTTTAGTTTGTGCTGCCTGCACATATTTTTAGATGATGTTGCTGGAGAAGAGTCAGTTTAAAAATAGAGTGGGTTTGTTTTTTTTTTTTATTCCTAACATTGAGAGTTACCTGTAAAGTCTGGCCTGGCCTTGACCACGTGGTTTCTGTTTCAAGTGAAAGTTTCTGTTTCAAGGGAAGGTTTGTGTCTCAAGCAAAAGCTGGAGCCTTCCTAGGATGGGAGCAGTGCTGGTTTTGAAGGACAAATGCTTTGGAAACAGTGGACTATAACTTATAACTTGACAGGAAGCTGAACATGAGCCAGAGTGTGCCCAGGTGGCCAAGAAGGCCAATGAATCCTGGCCTGGCTCAGGAACAGTGTGGCCAACAGGTCCAAGGAAGTGATTCTGCCCCTGGACTCAGCACTGGTGAGGCCACCCCTGGAGTGCTGTGTCCAGTTCTGGGCCCTCAGCTCAGGAAGGACATTGAGGGGCTGGAGCAGGTCCAGAGGAGAGCAACGAGGCTGGGGAAGGGACTGGAGCACAAGTGCTGTGAGGAGAGGCTGAGGGAGCTGGGGGGGCTCAGCCTGGAGAAGAGGAGGCTCAGGGGAGACCTCCTCACTCTCTGCAACTCCCTGACAGGAGGGGGGAGCCGGGGGGGGTTGGTCTCTTCTCCCAGGCAACCATCAGCAAGACAAGGGGGCTCGGTCTTGAGCTGTGCCAGGGGAGGTTTAGGTTGGATATCAGGAAGAATTTCTTTGCAGAGAGGGTGCTCAGCCATTGGAATGGGCTGCCCAGGGAAGTGGTGGATTCTCCATCCCTGGAGGTTTTTAAGATGGGACTGGATGTGGCATCAGTGCCATGGGCTGGGAACCACGGCGGGGTTGGATCAAGGGTTGGACTTGATGATCTTGGAGGTCCCTTCCAACCCAGCTGATTCTATGATTCTCTGATATCTTGTGTGCTTTTACAATATACAATATCTCCAGGTTGGACAGGGCATTTTAATAACTGCAGAACCACACCGTGGCCTGGACTTTAAACCTTAACCCCCTTTCCACTTTCCCTGCGTGACTCATGAGGATGGAGCGACGTTGCGCAATCCCGGTTTCGCTTCCCCGAAAAAAAGACTTGACAACTCTCCCTCTGTCCCTCTGTCCCCCCAGAACGTGGTGGACAGGAAGCCCTACCCAGATGACGAGAACCTGGTGGAGGTGAAGTTTGCCAGGACCCCCGTGATGTCCACGTACCTGGTGGCCTTCGTGGTGGGCGAGTACGACTTCGTGGAGGCGCGATCCCAGGACGGGGTCCTGGTCCGGGTCTACACCCCCGTGGGCAAAGCGGAGCAAGGAAAGTTTGCCTTGGAGGTAAATGAGCTCAGAGGGGCCTGGGGTCCAGGAGGGATCCCTGGACACGCCTCTGCTCTGGTCACTCTGCTCTGTGGCCCAAATCCGGGGGGTTTGTGGGTGTTTTTAGTGGCTCGAAGAGGCCGAGCTCCAAATTAACCAGAATTTCAGCTGTGGGCAAACAGGTGTCTGCAGTGACCAAAACACGGGGTTTGACTCAGTTCTGATTTGCTTTTATGGCTTAAAGAGCTTCAGTTTGATATCAAACAGAATTTCAGTTGTGAACCAGTGTCTACAATGACCAAAACATGAGTTTTGACTCAATTCTGATTTCCTTTTATGGCTTAAAGAGTTTGAGCTTGATATTAAACAGAATTTCAGTTGTGGACCAATGTCTGCAATGACCAGAACATGAGTTTTGACTCAATTCTGATTTGCTTTTATGGCTTGAAGAGCTTCAGTCTGATATCAAACAGAATTTCAGTTGTGGACCAATATCTATAATGACCAAAACATAGGTTTTGACTCAGTTCTGATTTGCTTTAATGTGCACAAAACCTGAACAGGTTGGACAAACCTGGTGATTTAAAAAGAAATACATATAATAAATAGTGGTAAGAATATATAACATATAAAAATATATATATAAATAATAAATATAAATAATATATATAATAAATCTTGGCATATGTCAAGCCACATGCTGGTTTATTAAGAGTGATTAAGAGCTTGAGTTTGATATCAAACAGAATTTCAGCTGTGGACCAGTATCTATAATGACCAAAACTTGGGTTTTGACTTAGTTCTGATTTGCTTTAATGGCTCAAAAAGCTTGAACTCAATATTAAACAGAATTTCAGTTGTGGACAAACCATTGTCTGCAGTCACCAAAACATGGGTTTGACTCAGCTCTGATTTACTTTAATGTCTCAAAAAACCCTCGAGTTTGATATTAAAGAGAAGTTCAGCTGTGGTCAAACCAAGTCTGTAATGACCAAAACATGAGTTTTTAACTCGGTTCTGATTTGCTTTGGTGGCTCAAAAAGACTGAGCTGGTTAAAGAGAATTTCAATTGCACACTAAACCAAGGTCTCTAACGACCAAAACACGTGGGTTAACTCAGCTGAGTCAGTTCTGATCTGCTGATTCTCTGATTAAAGTTCTGACTTGAAGTTCTGATGAAATTCTGATTTCTGATGGAGTTCTGATTTGCTGATTTCTGGTGAAGTTGTGATTTCTGGTGAAGTTCTGGTTCTCTGATCTCGACTTGGGCCCGAAGATGCTGAGAAGTCCTGGAGGGTGGTGACAGCCTGGGAGAAAACAGGGATGGGGAGTTTTCCAAACCATTGTGAGCTGGGAGTGGGGCTGCTGGAAGAAATCTTTGTGCTGCTTTCTTAGTTTCAATCAGAAATTCTCAAGTTTCCCCCAGTTCCAAGTTAACAGCACATTTCTCCTCTTATTTCTTACAGGTTGCTGCTAAAACTCTGCCTTTTTATAAGGACTACTTCAATGTTCCTTACCCTCTTCCTAAAATTGATCTCATAGCTATTGCAGACTTTGCTGCTGGTAAAGTAACTCACTTTGTTGATGAACTGTATTTAATTTGAATTTTAAACGTTTAGGAAGAGGTGTGTGTATCAATATCAATAAACCTTTGTATTTATTTTATAAAGGTGCCATGGAGAACTGGGGCCTTGTTACTTATAGGTATGCTGTTAAAATACTGTCTTTCCCCCTCTTTGTTCACTAATTCTTGGAATAACTTGGATTAGCTTTAGGGAGCTGTAATTACTGGGTGTCATCCCAAATGAGACAGAGCAAATACCTTCAATTCTTGCTCCGTTTTGGATAATTTTGGTGGCGTTGAACAGCTTAGGAAGGCAAAAAATCAGCTCTTGCAGGTGCTGTCCAAGGGTGTGAGGTTTTTAAGTGTCTGGCAGCACTGCCTGTTCTGCAGGAAAACTTTCCTGGCCCCTTTTTTTTTTTTTTTTTTGCCCTGTCAAACTCACTGACACAGCTGGAAGAGTTTCTCCTTTTACCTCGTGGGCAAGTTGGTAAATTTAACCCCCCCAGAGCAACCGTGTGGAGATGAGCAAATCAAAAACATTAACTTGCCTTTCTTTTCAGTTTGATTTTTTTTTCCCCCCCCCCTCCTTCTGGTCAGGCTTTTGTACTTTTGGCTTGACATCATTCCATGCCCAATGATTTCCCTTGCATTTTGAAACAACCTGTAAGCTCTGGACCCGAAATCCTGAAATAATTTTAATTCCTTCTGCTCGAGCTTTTGATTTGCCCTCAAAAAAAACCAACACAGAAATTCGAGCCCAGGTTTCAAATCTATTTGTCTTCTCATTGCAATTCTGATGAAATCTGATATTTTTGCTCCCTGTGGAAAAGAAAAATACGTGTGTTTATCCTGGATGAGGGGAATTTTTGGAAGCTTCACGGTGCTGTTCATTTCCCCCCCCCCCTTATGCCGAGTTTGGGTTGGCTCCATCCCTTTGGGAGGCACCAGCTGAGGTGCTTCCCTTGGAATTACAGCATTCCAGGGGTTTTTAACAGACCCCCTGATGGTGGCTAGGGGAAGGTTTGTGCCTGGCTCAGGGAGCACAAGTGGAGAAACTTGTGTAAGACATCTTGGAAGAGCCAGAATTCCTTTGGGAATGAGGGAGGCAGGGCAGACGTGCTGTGCATCCCTCCTGCAGTTGAGGTTCTTAGATTATGTAGGCGAGCTGGCTGATAAATAAAGGATGAACTTTTACTCCTGCCTGGCTTTTTCCACTTGTCTTCTTGCATGCCATAAGGAATTCCTGCTCCAAAGCATTCCAAAAGCTGTGGAACTTCCCAAATGTCTACGCTGAAGTAGCTTTTGGGTTTGTTTTTTTGGGTTTTTTTTTTTTTTAATTATTATTTTTTCAGTCGTGCTGATCACTTTTTAGCTTATTTAGGTGATTTAACCTGCTTTTTGACTGTTTTTCCCCCTGGGCTCATCCAACCCCTTGCTCAGTTCTCCCTCTCTCTCCACCACAGGGAGACAGCTCTGCTCATTGACCCCAAAAATTCCTGTTCTTCATCTCGCCAGTGGGTTGCCCTGGTTGTGGGACATGAACTTGCTCATCAGTGGTTTGGAAACCTTGTGACCATGGTATGTAACAGCTACAAAATCCTCCATGCCCAGATGTATTTGAGTGCCCCCAAACAGCAGCTTGGGGTCTTTAAATTAATAAATGTAATATTTAAGCCGTGCTTTATTCCCAATTTGTTCTTTCCATTCCTAGATCTTTTCCAGGTGAATTAATCTGGACTTGTTTGGGTGTGTCCCTTGTTAGAATTTAGCAATATTCCAGTGTTTTCCTTTCAGCTGGGAATGATCCACCTGTCAGGCTTTATCCCAAGCAGTCCCAGCTCATTGCAAATCCTTCCAGCCCTGTAGCTCCTGTGAAATTTTCGGGATAAATGTGGAGCCAGTGCCTGAATGGTTTGGAATTTAACTCCTTTTTAGTGGGAATAAAACCACCTGGGAGGCAGCAAGAGTGAAAATCTGTAAAGAAATTCCATTTAGTGCTCAAACCAACCCTGGACCTGTCAGAGCTTCTGCTGGGAACAAATGGCTCCAGCTCCCTCTGGGAATTGGATTTGACATTCCTGTTCCAATCCCTGCTGGAATCCAAATATTTTGCAGGTTCTGAAGTTCTTTTTTAAGTAAGAAATTAGCGTTTGGTGAAAAAAAAAAAAGATTTGGAGCCCTAAATCTTCACTCTTTAAACTGTGAGTGGATGGAGGGGGAAAAAAACCCCAGCGTAAATATGAATTTTAATATTAATTTTAATATTGATTAAAACAAAAAGCAGAGTTTGGGAGACTTTTCTCCGGGGCCATGGGGGCAGCTCTGGCCAATTCCTGTCTGTGGCAGCTTCCATGTGAGAGCAGCACAGTATTTGCAGGGAAAAGCAGTAGTGGAGTGGTGTATTTTTAGCTGTTGGTGGAGTTGAACAGCTGGAAGCAGGGAGAGCCAGCATCCTGTGACAGCCTGTGGGATGCCAGGAAATGCTCACACTCCATTAGTGACCACAAACCTGGGGAGAACTGGGGACAAAAAGGGCTGAGAAAGTTCACAGAACCCTCTAAAACATACATTAAATCAGCTTTTTCTTTTCCTTTTGAAGCTCTAGCTCTTCCCAAATTTTCCTTTAAGAGCTTTTTCTTGTTGGTTATTATTTTCTGCGATGCAGGTCTGAAATAGAAAAAGGCATTGCAGTGTTAGATAATTCCAAGAAAATCAACTTTCCCTCCTCTCTAATGAGGGGAATGGAGCAGAAAACCTCAGTGGCATCTCTGCTTTGCTTTGCCACTTCTGGCCAGCACAATATCCCAGTTTTTCTGATAAATAAGAAGAACTCCAGGTGTGTTGGAGCTGGGTGTGTGAAGAATTCCTGAGTCTGGGAAACAGGTGCACCAGAGATGTAAAAGGAATTTGGATGCTCTCCACTCCAAAAATAAAGCAGTGGAGTTTGTCACAGCTTTCCCTGTGGAAATTCCACCCTCCCAGGGGACAATGGTTCACTGAGAGGAGAAGCAGGAGGTTTTTGGGACTGGATCCTGCCCAGCTCCTTGTGCTCAGGCACCAGTGGCACTCGGAGTTACCCACCCCTTTTGCATTTAAAATGGGGGGTTAAAGCATGGAAAAGGGTGTTTCCTTCCTCAATATCCATAGCCTTTTTCCTTACCTTCCCTGCTTCACTTAAATATTAAATACTAGTATTAAATACTAATATTCAAGTGAAAGGCAGAATTTTAAAATGTCACTGTCACATTCTTACCTTTAAAAAAAAACAAATCCCGCTTTTGGCTGGCAAGGAACAACTTTTGAACTGCTCAGCAGGCTTCAGGTTTCCATAATTTAGGATATTTCTTGAGATTCCAGGTTTTTCTGCTTAATGTAAGGAAAAAAAAAGAACAAACAAACCCCAAACCAGCTGTTTGTCCCACAATTTGGGGAAGAAAGACCCCATTGTGTCCCCACATTCTTACCTTTAAAAAAACAAATCTTGGCTGGCGAGGAACAACTTTTGAAGTGCTCACCAGGCTTCAGGTTTCCATAATTTAGGATATTTCTCAAAATTCCAGGTTTTTCTCCTTACTGTAAGGAGAAAAAAAACCCAAAGAAACCCCAAACCAGCTGTTTGTCCCACGATTTGGGGAAGAAAGACCCCGTTGTGTCCCCCCAGCTGTGCTGCCTCACGGACCTGCAGCTTTGCCTGGTCCTGGGTTTTCCCTAATCCAGGCTGTTCCATGGCTCTGCTCTGACCTCCAGTCCAGGCTCTGGGAATTTCTGCTCCATGTAGAGTCCCTAAAACTTAAGGGGAAGGCAATTTTTGGATGCTGGTGGCTCTTCTTGCCCCGCTGATTCTCCAGAGAGGTGAATTCGTGCTCACAAGCGACACTGAGTTAACCCTGCAAACTTTAATTTTTTGCTGCCAACTTCTCGCTGTTTCATGGAATTTTGACCTTTCCTTTGCCTTCCCAGGAATGGTGGACCCACCTGTGGCTGAATGAGGGCTTTGCCTCGTGGATTGAGTACCTGTGTGTGGATCACTGCTTCCCAGAGTATGACATCTGGACCCAGTTTGTCTCTGCCGACTACACACGGGCCCAGGAGCTCGATGCCTTAGACAACAGCCACCCCATTGAGGTGAGTCCTCCTTCCCCTCCTGCCTCTATCCCTGGTTTTCATTAGCCCCAGGGCAAGATTGTTTCCTGGTAATTAAAAAGGGAACTTTGTAGTCATTCCTGCCACAAAGGGAAAGCTGGAGTTGTGGTTACACCGAGGGGATTTCCCTCTGCTTTCTCTGCTTTCTCTGCTTTCCTCTGCTTTCCTCTGCTTTCCTCTGCTTTCCTCTGCTTTCTCTGCTTTCTCTGCTTTCCTCTGCTTTCCTCTGCTTTCCTCTGCTTTCCTCTGCTTTCCTCTGCTTTCCTCTGCTTTCCTCTGCTTTCCTCTGCTTTCCTCTGCTTCCCTCTGCTTTCCTCTGCTTTCCTCTGCTGCACAAAGAAAACTCCCTTTGTAATTCCCAGAGATCGAGTGTTCTGGTGGCAGAAAAATTGGTTGATGGAATAAATGTTGGGAAATTTCCTTGCTTTGTGCAGCAGGTCATTTTAGAGGGATTTACTCCCTGTGTTGTGTTCACTCTCCCTGGGCTGAACAATTTCCCCTGGTTTTATCACTTCGGGACAAGTGGCAAACCAAAGGATTGAAGGAAGAACCCCAAATCTATTAGATTTAACACCAAAAGAACCCCAAATCTGTTAGATTTAACACCAAAACCTAACTTAAAGGGTGTTTAACTTCTAAACCCAACCATACCTGAGTAAGTTGAATTAGCTGGGTGCAGAGATCCACTGAGACAACCCAGTGCTGGGTGTGCACGTGCCTTCTCTGGGAGAAAAGTCACCTCCCAAACGCTACAACCAGCAAAATCCAGGGTTCTGGCAGCTGAAATCCCTCTCATGGGAGTTCTCTCCTGTCTCCCCCAGGTCAGTGTGGGCCACCCCTCCGAGGTGGATGAAATATTTGATGCCATTTCCTACAGCAAGGGAGCCTCCGTGATCCGGATGCTGCACGACTACATCGGGGATGAGGTGAAGGGATTGGGCTGCAAAAACCACCTGGGGCTTTTCAGATCTTTTTTTTTTTTTTTTTTGCAGGTAAAACCAATGATTTTTAACAAAAAAAAAATAATAATTGAATCTGTGCATTCTGTGGCTTTGAAAAATTCTCCCAGTTTATCTGGGCTCTGTTGGGATTAACCCGGGAGAAATGGGATAATGGGGAATATGGCAGTAATTGTAGCACTGATTGTGATTCTCCCTGGCTGATCCCTGGGTGTAAGTGTGGCACGGAGGGAGGTGCCCTGACATATCCCACTGTGTGTTCCCAGGATTTCCGGAAAGGCATGAATTTGTACCTGACCAAGTTCCAGCAGAAAAACGCTGCCACAGGTAACTGGGGTCACTGTGGGGCTTGGTGAGGGGGAAAATTGGGATTTCTGGAGTCCAGCCCTTCAGTGCTGAAGGGATGAATCCTTAAACAGCCTTTTTTCCACCTGAGACAGCTGAAATCCCAGAAAACAACTGGCTTGTTTCCAGTTTCGTGCCCCTGCCCAGCCAGGACTCGGCACCCTTAGGGATTTTCTGCCAGGGGAATGAGTGGCTGAGGTGATGGGAAAGGGCTGATTTACCCTTTGCCACATTTGCACAGTCGTGGAATTTGGAAACAGAGCCTTTGCTTTGCCAAGTGAGCCTTTTGCAAGCTTCCTTTTGCAGTTATTGATCGTGTGGGTGATTAAACAGGGCAAAGTCCCGTCCAACGTTCCCCCAGCACGTTCTTTGCTTAAACCTTTTTGTGGATCAGGCAGAAATGTGCAAGTGGAACATCAGGCTCTGGCAGCCCCTGGTGTTTGCTCAGCAATTTTGACATAATATATAAAAAAAACTAAAGGGAAAGATGGCACTATTTGAATATTTAATGTTATTTTTAAGGTATTTTTTCACGACGTGTGTTGATTGCTTTATTTTTTAGCAGTAAAGAAGCTGTTCCTCCCCACTCTCCCCCATCAGTGGTTTAAACTATTTCCTTTTTCTTGCCTCTCTTCTGTTACAATTCAATAAAAACACAACCCAAAGCATAAAGACAAACTGGAGTAAGAGCCCACCCTCCCCTGTCGTGTCCTTAATAAATCTGGACACATCCAGACTCTGGGAGTGCTGAGTCAGACTTTTCTCCTGCAGAGGATCTCTGGGAAAGCCTGGAAAAAGCCAGTGGCAAACCCATTGCTGCTGTGATGAACACGTGGACCAAACAAATGGGATTCCCACTCATTTATGTGGAAGCTGAGCAGGTAAATCCAACCTTTGGGGTCACCTCGGAGCTGCAGCTCTGCCCTGAGCCGTGGTTTAGGATCAGCTTTAGGGCATCCACTGATCCAAACATCCCCTCTGCTCAGGGCAGAAGTTCAACTGTGGTCAAACCAACGTCTGTAATGACCAAAACATGAGTTTTTAACTCGGTTCTGATTTGCTTTGGTGGCTCAAAAAGACTGAGCTGGTTAAAGAGAATTTCAATTGCACACTAAACCAAGGTCTCCAACGACCAAAACACGTGGGTTAACTCAGCTGAGTCAGTTCTGATCTGCTGATTCTCTGATTAAAGTTCTGACTTGAAGTTCTGATGAAATTCTGATTTCTGATGGAGTTCTGATTTGCTGATTTCTGGTGAAGTTGTGATTTCTGGTGAAGTTCTGGTTCTCTGATCTCGACTTGGGCCCGAAGATGCTGAGAAGTCCTGGAGGGTGGTGACAGCTCTGGTTCTGAAGGGAGGGAGGCACAGCTCCCTGCAGGAATCTGCTACAAACCCCTGGGGAGTTATCCCAGGGACTCCCTGCATCCCTGGAGTTTGCTGACGTTGGAGTTTGTGTGTGTGAAATGTGTGCTGGGGGAGGGAGGCTCTGGCTTAGCTCACCCTGCTTCTCATTCCACCTCAATTATGCTTATTCCACAAGATTGCAGGGTGAGGGAGGATCACTGGGAGCAAACTCAGCTGGGAATCAGGGCATGTGTGTTCTGACAGGAGCAGGGATTTGTGCTTTGGGATGAACCCTCAGGTAGATCCCTCTGGAGGAGGAAAGTTACCCTGTTCAGCAGAGGGCACACACAGTGATAACAGCAGCTGACATCAGGGGTTCTAAAAATTCCTTTCTCTCTTTTTCTTCCCTTTTTGTCTTCAGCAAGAAGATGACAGAGTGTTGAAGTTAGTGCAGAAGAAGTTCTGTGCCAGTGGACCATATACTGGTAAGATGAGCAGGAACAGGGTGACACCCTTGCTGCTCATGCAGTGGCAGCAATTTTGGGAGGTGGAACAGCCCCAGGGCAGGGCAGGGCAGGTGCCCTGAGTAATTCCCACCCTGGATCCAGGTGGGAAAACGTGAGGAATTCCAAGGTTGAAGCTCTCACATGTCCTTGCACGGAGAGCAGGATTCCTCTGCACTCCCTGGCTCCCTGTTCCTTCAGGAATGTCCAGTTTGGGGCCAGTCCTGCATCTGAGGAGCTCTGGAAGCAGCTGGTTTGGAGTGGGGCTGGAATAAAAACCCCTCATGTGGGAGCCAATTCCACCACAGATCCCACTCCTCTTCCATGCTTATACAAATTAAAATGTTTGCCTTCAAAGGTGATTTAAAGATTCTTGGCTTTTAATTCTAAAACTGTCATTCCCCTTCAGTTTTGTGCCTCTTTTCCTTTTAATTTGAAGCAGCCAGTGCTGGACCTGTTTGAACACCTTGTTACTCAGTGTTATGTTTTTCCTCAGACCTTCCTTTCCACCCTTTTCTCCTTCCAGGGGAGGATTTCCCCATGTGGATGGTGCCCATAAGTATTTGCACAAGTGATGACCCCACCTGTGCCAAAATGCAGATCCTGATGGACAAACCAGAGCTCACAGTGGTTTTGAAAGACACCAAACCAGAGCAGTGGGTGAAGGTGAGTCCTCAGGAGGGAGAACACGGCTGGGGATGAGTTTGGAGCCACTGGAATGTTCCCTTGCCTTTCATTTTCCTCTTTTTTTTTTTAAATTTATTCCTTCCCCTTGGAATCTTGTGTTTCTTCTGTGCTGCTGTTGGATTTTGGCTCCTCTCTGGACATTTCCTTAATGAGCCCTTTTCCCTTCCAAAACTACTCCAGACAATGTAAACTGGGACTTTTGAGGAATCCAAACCTGGGCAATCAGAGGCAGCTTTGGAGTGGAAGATGTGGTGGCTTTTTTAGTCTCCCAGGGCAACCAGAGTTTAGTTCAAGTCCATCCTGAGCAAAAATAATCCTGTTTATCTTTCATTAGTGGGAAGGATTTCTGGTGGCCCCTGCCAGACAAATGTGCTTGTGAAAAAAAGCCACTGCTGAGCTCTGCTGCAGCCAAAGGGAATCTGAGAACTGGGAGGGGGGTTAAAAACTGGGAGGGGGTTTAAAAACTGGGAGAGGGTTTAAAAACTGGGAGAGGGTTTAAAAACTGGGAGAGGGTTTAAAAATTGAGAGGGAATTTAAAACTGGGAGGGAATTTAAAACTGGGAGGGAAATTAAAACTGGGAGGGGATTTAAAAACTGGGAGAGGGTTTAAGAACTGGGAGAGGATTTAAAACTGGGAGGGAATTTAAAACTGGGAGGGAATTTAAAAACTGGGAGGGAATTTAAAACTGGGAGGGAATTTGAAAACTGGGAGAGGGAATTTAAAAACTGGGAGAGGATTTAAAACTGGAAGGGAATTTAAAAATTGGGAGAGGGTTTAAAAACTGGGAGAGGGTTTAAAAACTGAGAGGGGGTTTAAAACTGTGAGGGAATTTAAAAATTGGGAGAGGGTTTAAAAACAGGGAGAGAGTTTAAAACTGAAGGGAGAGTTTAAAAACAGAGAGTTTAAAAACTGAGAGAGAGTTTAAAAACTAAGAGTTTAAAAGCTGAGAGAATTTAAAAACAGAGAATTTAAAAACTAAGAGTGAATTTAAAAGCTGAGAGAATTTAAAAACTGAGAGAATTTAAAAACTCAGAGAGAATTTAAAAACTGAGAGAATTTAAAAACTGAGAGAATTTAAAAACTGAGAGAGAATTTAGAAACTGAGAGAGAATTTAGAAACTGAGAGAGAATTTAAAAACTGACAGAATTTAAAAACTGAGAGAGAATTTAAAAACTGAGAGAGAATTTATTTAAAAACTGACAGAATTTAAAAACTGAGAGAGAATTTATTTAAAAACTGAGAGAGAATTTATTTAAAAACTGAGAGAGAATTTATTTAAAAAAAGAAAAAGAGAATTTATTTAAAAACTGAGAGAGAATTTAAAACCAGAAAGGCAGCAGTGGTTGGGCCCCTTGTAGGATCCCTGGAGGAGCTCCCTCTCCTCTCCCTGTCCTTTTCTCCTTGAAAATCTTGATTTTTCCCCCCTTATTATCACTCTTTTATCTTTTTATTTAAATTATCACCATTCCCTTCCCTGACCTACCGAGCCTGGAGACATTTCCACTGATCCAAACCATTAAAAAAAACCCCAAACCATCACTTGCTTTGTTCCCTCCTTGTAATCTGGGGCTGGTTTTGGTCCTTGCAGCTCAACCTGGGCACGGTGGGGTTTTACCGCACCCAGTACAGCCCCGAAATGCTGGAGAGTTTAATCCCGGCCATCAAAGACCTCTCCCTCCCCCCTGTGGACAGGCTGGGCCTGCAGAATGATCTCTTCTCTCTGGTAAGTTGGAGAAAAGCTCCAAAAATTGGGGGTTCAAGGCAGTTTTTACGGGCAAAATGACTTTGGGGTGGCTGCAGGGGATTAATTTTTATTTATTGTTGGTGTTGTTATTTATTAGCAATTATTTATTATCCATAATATTTATTATCCATATTATTTATTATCCATAATATTTATTATCCAGATTATTTATTATCCATAATATTTATTATCCATGTTATTTATTATCAATAATATTTATTACCCATATTATTTATTATCCATAATATTTATTATCCACATTATTTATTATCCATATTATTTGTTATCCATATTATCTATTATCAATATTATAAATTATCAATATTATTTATTATCAATATTATTTATTATCCATATTATTTATTATCCATAATATTTATTATCCACATTATTTATTATCCACATTATTTATTATCCATATTATTTGTTATCCATAATATCTATTATCAATATTATAATTTATCAATATTGTTTATTATCCATATTATTTGTTATCCATATTATTTGTTATTCATAATATTTATTATCAATATTCTAAATTATCAATATTCTAAATTATCCATATTATTTATTATCCATATTATTTGTTATCCATATTATTTGTTATCCATAATATTTATTATCAATATTATAATTTATCAATATTATTTGTTATCCATATTATTTGTTACCTATATTATTTATTATCCATATTATTTGTTATCCATATTGTTTATTATCCATATTGTTTATTTATTATCCATATTATTTATTATCCATATGGTTTATTTATTAGAAATATTATTTCTTATCCATGTGGTTTATTTATTAGAAGTATTACTGTTTATGACAAATCTTTATCATCAATAGTGTCAGATATTATAGATATTATTCAGATATTATAGATATTATTTATTATAAACATTGTTCTTTATTATAAACGTTGCTATTTATTTCTTAGAAATGTCACTGTTGATTTTTCCAGTACCATAAATTACTGGTCTGGTCCTAAATTGACCAAAATCTGAATTATCTGGTTGGATATACCAGCAGGTGTTATATTTCTGTGCTTGGAGCTGTTGATCTGCTGATTAATCAATTAATCCAGATTTTCCTGGCAGTGCTGTGCTCACACCAAGTCACGGGAAGCAAAACCAACTTTTTCATCCTCCCAAATTACCAAAAAAAAGCCAAGATTAAATCTCTTTTCGGTTAAAATCACATTTTGGGCGAGTGTAAAACCAAGAAATAAAATAATAAATAAATAACAGGCAATAAATAAATAAACAAGGAGCTCTTCAATGCCTTAATTCTGCCTGAAAATAAGATTATTCTGGGTTTTTTTTCTCCCTGCCAGGCCCGAGCTGGGATCATCAGCACTGTGGAGGTTCTCAAAGTCATGGAAGCTTTTGTGAACGAGCCCAACTACACGGTGTGGAGTGACCTGAGCTGTAACCTGGGCATCCTCTCCACCCTCCTGTCCCACACAGACTTCCACGAGGACATCCAGGGATTCGTCAGGGACGTCTTCTCCCCCATCGGGGAGAGGCTGGGCTGGGACCCCAAACCTGGGGAGGGTGAGGATCTTCTGCTCTGCAACCCTTTATGGGGGTCTGGGGAACTCCTGGGGCCATAAGGCAAAATTTTGGGGGGGAAATTCTGTGAAATTTGTGGGGGTAAGGCAAAATTTGGGGGGAAATTCCGTGAAATCCGGTGGTGGGTTTGGGAAATTTCGTGTCGGTAATTCAAAATTTTGGGGGAAATCTCTTTGGAAATCTTAGGTGTCAAAAAGTCAAAATTTTAGGGGAAATCTCTTTGGAAATCTTAGGTGTCAAAAAGTCAAAATTTTGGGGGAAATCTCTTTGGAAATCTTATGTGTCAAAAAGTCAAAATTTTGGGGGAAATCTCTTTGGAAATCTTAGGTGTCAATAGTTCAAAATTATGGGGGAAACCTCTGTGAAATCCACTGGTGGTTTTGGAAACTTTGTGTGTCAAAAAGCCAAGATTTTGGGGGAAACCTCTGTGAAATCCAGTGGTGGTTTTGGAAACTTTTTCTGTCAATAATTCAAAATTTTGGGGGAAACCTCTTTGGAAATCTTAGGTGTCAAGAATTCAAAATTTTGGGGGAAAATTCTGTGAAATCCAGTG